TTGTCTTTTGTGTGCATTTGATTTTTGTCTGTATACCTAATGTCAGGAAAACCATTTATTTATTAATCATTTATTTATATATTAATTTTTGTGGGTGTGTAACTGTAAGTGTGTGTGTGTCTGTGTGTGTTTTCTTTTTTGTCTCTGTATATAGGTACATGTTTGATTTATATTTATTCATAGTGAATTAAAAAAAACACTATTAGCAACAACTCTTAAGCTTTAAGAGCTTTAACAACAATCATGTACCATATGTGTTGTATCATGTCATTTAAAAAAAAATGAAAATGAATAAAACAAAAAAGTTAAACAATGTTTTATTTTCTCACTTGACTATATGATCCTCAGGATCTGTGGCACTAGGTGTGGACCACTTTACAACAACACTCGTTTTACCAGGGTCCGCATAGTAGACTGTGGTGTTGGGAACGCTCCATGTTATGTGAGGAGGGCGGTTCGGTGGGGGAGGGTGACCTAGAACAGTAATGGCAAAGAGCAAGTTTTTAAAGTAAGGCAATAGAACGACTTCATCTTTTGCTAACCAACGGTAGTGTTTACATGATAAACATACATTTGTCCCCGTCTTGTTACAATTTCTGTCCTTTATTGTAAGTGTGTCTTTTTCGTTCAGTGTACCGAGTAGAAAATATAATTCTCTTATTTTTTTTTCTTGTGGTAATTATAAGGATTTGTGAATAAAATGACACATTTTCGTCAGTGATGGGGTGCTGCTTATGCAATTATTTTGGGGAACGAAATTCCATGACGAAATTCCAAGCATTATCCTTGTATTAAGAGTGTCCCTTTCGTGTTGGTTTGGCTGTCCAGGATTTTTTTTTTTCACAATCCTTTTTCAAGCGCCCGGACGCTTCCTGGAAGAAGGTCATGTATAATTTTTGCCGGGAAGCGGGGCAAAGGCAATTGTAAGGGGGGATGTTGGCAGCTCTCAGGTGAAAAGTCGTTGGTCCCTTTTATACAAGAAAGAAATCCATTTAACCGAGGAAGGAAAGGCTGATCACCGCTTGGCACGGCCACGGGTCGAATGCTCGTGATATTTCCCTTTCTTGATAGCAACATCCGATTATCCCGACTTCCGTGATAGATTTCGACTGCTGACGGACAACCTTATAGAACCGGATTTCAAATAAATTTATATGACATGAAGTCGATATTTATGATAATGCTCATTAGAGTTGTGGTTTTGTTGTCACTTCCCGAGTATTCGATGTGAGGACTTGACCTTTCTTAGATTCGACTGTGATTTACTTGGCGGGTTTCATCAATGAAGCAGAAGACGTGTACCCTTCCTTCTACTTTTCAAGGGTATCAATGAAAATCTTTCCTAAGTACATATCTAACCAATTATTCAATTTTGAGTTCAAATTATTTTTTGTTTCCGGGTGCCGCTCATTTATTCACCACCTCAATTATCCCGGCGACCCATGTGTTATTATTACTGACGACTTGGGCATTGACCTCTTCATTCGGGTTCTGGCCCCGGTATTGATTAGAGCAATTTTCGGGTTTCATCGTTTCTATCGGTTTTGACGTTGGGCAGTTTGCCAATCCCGGTACACCAACGTCACACAGGCTTGCATTTCAGCTATTTGCCATATGTCAGTCCTGCTTGGTCTGGCCTGTGGTTTCCTGACAACAGAGAGCGCATACACAGGATAGCGATGTGATCCTTTTCTCCTTTGGATGCTAGTATACTGATGATGGCCAGTCGGAGGTGTCGGATGACAGTCCTCAGGAGGTTTTGCCTTCTAATGTCCAGTTCAAGGGATTTTACGCACTCCGATGTCTGTTTCAACAGTAGTTTAGACCTAAAGTCTATTGGTCCTAGAAGAACTAAAGATCTGTAGTTACAATTCAATTTGGCATAATACTACCAAATTCTTAAGGTGCAATCATATGTGTGTGTGTTACGTCCATATGTAAAGTTGTAAGGTGGTCGACGCTACTTGTAGATTTCCGAGGCCCTCGGAGGATATTGAAAAAGCCCTCGCTCTCCAGTAGAACATGCGACCATTCTCTCTAACTTGCAATTTTTCTTTCAATTTCACAATGACAGCAGAATATCTCCTCTCTGTCTGTGTTCCGATTGATATATCAAGTCACAAAGTTTACCTATGACAACTAATATAATCAGGTTCTGATCTTGAGGTGAAAGATCAAGAGATTAGCGCCCGGTCTGCTTCCGTGATAATTTTTATGCAGGCATTAAAATGGTAAACATTTTCACATTTAACAGAGGTTTTTCCGTCACGTTCTAAAATTTGCGGCATGTCTGGGATTCAATAAAAGAAAAACATTGGCGCAATAATAGATTTTAAGGAAGTGGTGTTATACGAAACTATGGCCAGTTCGTTGGGAATTGGGGCACGTAAGGGAAAGGGAGAAGGGTTTAAAAAAAAGTCCTTTGTTTTTGGTCTACAAAGATGCATGTAAGTAGAATGCTCACTAAAGTTATGGTAAATATCAAAATTTAATTTTACATAAAGATAAAAACCTCAAATAAATAACTTTTGCGTTAGTAAATGCCATTTAATAAAGCTAAAAAAGGTTTAATTGTCAATAAACAAAATGGTACTTACGGTTGCTGCAGAAGAACACACAGAAGAATGAAACCAGGGGATGAAATATTTCCGATATTGTCCCTCTTTTAACCCGAATTGATCCTTCAAAATATTAAGATGAGGTATTTTCTCAGCTTTCGAAAGAACAAGATTGTTGTTTTCTATTATTTTAAAAATCATGTTTAAGTGCTAATGTATGTATCTTCGTTATAGTAATTCAATGCCGATCAAATCACTCTTCCTTCAAGTATTATAAGTGATTCAACAATTTTAGGTCATGAAGATTTTGTTTTTGTTTATAATGTCACGAGGTTAAACAACATCGCGCAGTGATATGTTCACACTTACATATTAACATCACGTTTTGCATTTCCTCTCCGTGACCGGAGAAGTCAAATGATACGTTTGTTACAAAGAAAATGCGTTGAAATAGATAAATCAGATATCATATTCTCAACTATTATCTACTTATTTAAATCGTAATTAATGTTTAATATAAACCTCACTCTACTAGATATAAATCATCGTAATGATCATATGGATCATCGGATAGATTATGTTCAAATTTGTACCTGCAGGAAATTCAATCCAATTGCCGTTCCAACACGTGATTGCACTAGTGCTATTTCCATATGAGCCAAACACTTTGCAGGTGTGACCATGAGTGACTGTAATCTGTCCATTCTGAAAACAGTCAGTCCTACGTCCTGTATCATCAGTTGCAGAACAAGATCTCGATAGCACGTGTAGATCAGTCGCTTCCTTAAGGAAAGAAATATAACCGAATGAATATAGACAGTCCGAGATCCTGCCTCTCTTTTATTTGAAATGCAAAACGTAAATATCCAAAACCTTTATATGCACAGATCAAAATATACAAAATTTACTATGTAAGTTGAGATTTCAAGAAATTGTTGTAAGCTTGAATACATTTATAATATAGTGAACACAGCGTATTCATACAACAACGACAAAATCATCTGATTAAGTAAGACTATTTACATTTCATGTTAATGTTCAGGCTGTACTGAGTCTTACGTGTAGTATGGAGTGTTTCGATTATAACAATGTTTTGGTAGTTTTATGTGATATAAAGCATCGATAAAATGTACAGGTGTAAAGTATTATTTGGAAAACGTTAATACTGTCACTTATTTTTAACAATATTTAGGCTGGAATTAAAAACTTTTGACAATGATGACTAAACCATCAGCTCTTGAATGTACGTCATTTTTACCAGTGACATATCGGGAACTACCCATTTGATAAAAATTTACCTTTCGGAATGCTACATCTTTACATTCGAAGGTATCACTTTTGGTATTATCCAGTCAAAAGTACGTGGAATGTCGGTATATTCTGCCATACTCTTAACATATGTTTTGGTTTTTATAGGGAAACACAAAATTTTGGTATTTGGTACTTTATTTGGTAAAGTATCTTGTTCAAGAATACAACACAGTGCCGTGCCGTGACGTGCCTCGAACCTGCGACCCTTCGGTTATGATCGAGCCCGGCGTCCTATCACTAGACTAACATGTCTTAAATTAATGTTATGATATAAATTTTTACATTTTTTTTATCAAATGAATAATTCCTGATATTTCACTAGTGAAATATAATATATATATATGGTATTCAACAGAACACTATTAAATATCAAATATATCTCGACGTTGTAAATTGACCATGAATATGGAGTGACTAGCTTGTCTTGAATACCTACAGTTTACATAAAACAGAACACCCCTGTATGTTGGGGATTGGGGAAAGAATACACCTACTGTTACCCACTGCATGTATCGTAGTAGGCGACTAAAGAGGGGACACCTGCAGAATCGGGGATTTGCTTTGTGTCCTCTATTTGGGGACACAAAAGCGACCAAAATAGACCTGCTGCTCTCATTGCAATATTTTGGATGTTTGTCTTTCTTTCTACTTCTAACTACTATTTATTTCCCAGCGCCTTTCTTGTCCAAAATCTCACTTTTGGCTTAAAGGTTGAGCGTCCGCCAAGGTGAGGAAAGCCGGGATATACCAAAGTCCTTAAAAATGGTAGTTGTTAATCCCTGCTTAACGTTCAGCATTTAGGCGAATGGTAACAACAGGTTCACCCGTTGTCAGTATAATGTGACCGGGCGGAAT